GAAATTTAAAAAAGAACTGAACAATTACAATCATTAAAAAAAATTTGTTGCTTAATTGAAAAACCAAACATTTTATTAGGCCATTTAACCGCTGACGTCAAAAGTAACAATTTTATATTAACTATAATGGTTAAAAAATTGTAATATTTAACGATTCGTTGATGCCAGTATCCATAACCCAGCAAAAATTTCTCAGATAATAAAATTATCATTATTGAGAGAAACTGTATTTTTTGATGTTCTACAATAATATATATGTACATATATATATATATATATATATATATATATATATATATATATATATATATATATATATATATATATATATATATATATATATATATATATATATATATATATATATATATATATATATGTATATATATATATATATATATATATATATATATATATATATATATATGTATATATATATATATTATATATATATATATATATATATATATATATATATATATATGTATATATATATATATTTATATATATATATATATATATATATATATATATATATATGTATATATATATATATTTATATATATATATATATATATATATATATATATATATATATATATATATATATATATATATATATATATATATATATATATATGGGTCATTCCATGTAAAACTGGGACAGTCATTTCAGTCACCTCTTGGATTTTCTTTAAATTTTACCAGGTGGTACATTGTAATGAAACATGAAAAAATGCAAAATTTGAGCTCCCAAATCCAAATGGTTCAAAAGTGGCGTTTTGAAATTCAGCCTAAAACGTTCCTTTTATTGCCAAGTCTGCCATTATGGATTTTGTAGTTGCACTTTTTTCAATAAATAATTTAAAATCTAGTGGAAGAATGTGGCTAAAAATGAGTTCCTGACTATTTTTGAGGATACTGAATTCAAAAATGTAAAGCAAATAGTGAAATTTAAATTTTATGATAGTTATTTTTTGATTTTAAAATGGTCAGTCCAACTTTTTGTTCTGTTACCATGGGTTACGCTTTCATCAACTCCCGGAGTTGCCCAAGTCTCGTGGATTTAATTTTTTTTTCAAACAAAGTAGGTTATACTAGGTTATTGTTATAAAAAAGATGGTTTTGGTTTCTTCAAGAATTATTAAGATATGTCATTTTGAAACTTAGAAAAATAAATAATATCATTTTTTAGCCTCTATTCTCCATTATAGACTTAATAGCGATACTTTTTGTGTGAATAATTAAAGTTCTAGTGGAGAAATATGACTGAAAATTGGTACCTAGCCAATTTTAAAGGTATTGAATACAAAGATAAAGATAAATGAACCCTATTCCTAGTATTTGAGAATACTTTTTCAATTTTAAAATATCAACAGTTAAATTTTTTTATTTCTTTACCATGGTTTACCTTTACTTATTTCTGGAGTTGCCTTACTCTTATTGTGAAATAAGAGGTCTTAAAAAAGTTTAGGTTTCTAAAAGAAAATCGAAAAATTATAATGCTTTGGATAACTTGCATATTTATAATCAATATTTTCAAAAATATAAATGGAAATGTAATTTACTATACAACACATTGAAAATAGAATTTCTTTATTTAATAATTATAATAATTTAACGTAACATTATTACTTTATGCCTAATAATAGGGTATTGTTGTGTTAAAAAATAAGAAATTAAAATGCAAACCTTTTTGAAAAACAGTAAAAAATCTGCTTTATTAAAAAAAGCTCAAAAATCAAAAGGAAAATGAATAAACCAAATATGACTAAAATTGAAGTTTATATAATTTAAATAATGAAAGTAAAATATTCATCAACTTTCATTGACAAGATGAAAGATGTTCAAAATGAGTTTTGTCTTTTTTTGTGTTTTGATACTGATGCCCAGAAGATGTTGATGGTGTTTTAACAAGAGAAATGACATTCATTCTTGGCACCCAGCAATTATCATCCCGCTTTGGCCAGTAGTATGATCGACTTGGATAATTCGGATGCATAAACTTTACCATAAAATCGTCATTCTCTTTATCAACTTCAGAAACCATTCCAAGCCAGTAAAAATCGTCGTATTTGCAAAATAGGTATTGTGACATCATAACATTCTCAATTTTATTAATTTCGTATTTTTGTTTATTGAGGAAGTCAAATGTTAGAGCAAAATCATCATCATCGAATACACTTTTCATTTTTATAATTGAATGAGAAGAAGATATAAATTGATGGAAACTTCTTGTCCCAGCAATAGTGGTTGCTATTAATAGTCTATCAGCAAGTTTGATTCTTACTAGCTCCATTTCTTCAGCAGTGACGTACATAAACATAATCCCACTGATTGACTTTTGGCAGTATTCAAACATTGCTTGAGAAGATAGTATTTGACCTGTTGTTGGACTCTGCAAGCTAGCAGTTGAAACAAGCCTTTTAACAGTGCCACCTATTCCAACACATGGAAATTTGCCATAGCTTGTTGCAAAGAATTCTATCTGTCATTGTCCACTGTTTGAAATTCACTGACTGTTCATTTTCGTCACTGTCATATTGCTCTTTTGGATCATAATTTTGTGTGAGATACTGCTGGAAATAAATTTGGGCAGCTTGTATGCAAGGACAACTATTGCATCAGTGAATCATGCAAACATTTGATTTTCTGCTGCAGACAATCTTTTCAATGATTTCATGGTAAGATGTTTCAAGGCCTACAGCACTTAACATTAATTTAACATTTTGGTATATTGTACACACACAAACAGAATGTGTACCTTTTGGACCAGCAAGGATGCACCATTTAGGTCTAAGACTGCAAAATTTAGAAAATCCAATCCAATTTTATGGTCTGGGTACTTAATCTTATATACCACATAGAGCTCCTTTAGATTACACATAATCAATTTTTTTGACATGTATTTTTTTTTACCAACGCTTAAACAGTCTTTTTTACCGAGCATTTGCCTTGAATACTCATCGTCAAAGTAAAAAAGCTTTACAAGTTCTATGACATCTTTACTGATTCAAAATTTGAAGTTGCTGCCTTCTGTTAGAAACTTCAAGTTTTTCTTTCATGCATTCAACAAGGAAGTCTAGATCGCCAGCTTCCAAGTGAAGGCTTGTTAGAGGTTTTTGGTAAATGAACTTTTAGCAGAGACACTTCAAGTTCACGCAAAGTACTGTTGAGCAATGATTTTGCTGATTCCAGTATAATTTCTTTTTCCATATTATCTTCAGTTAATTTTATCTTCAACTCATTCTCTTCTGATTCTTTTGTAACTCACAAAATTTTCACAAAATAAAAGTTGTGATTACTATAAATACCTTTTATAACTTTGTTATGAGTATTAAATGGATTGCAGCACCGTGTTAATTTAGTTGCATAACACTTAAAATAAACATGTTTATGATGTAGACAAGTTGTTAGTTTTACATTGATTATTGAGAGCCCAGTCTTCCAAATTAATATTTCTCTTTCATACTCAGAAATATCTTCAAAAGTTTTGATTCCAAGCAACGATGTATATGTTGCAAGATGACATTCACTTCCTAGCTTGATTCCAATGGAGCACGGTTGGCTGTTTGCCAAGACTAAGAAACTGAATTACTAAATTCTCTAATTGTTTAATCTAAAATTAAAATGATTTTAAGTTTATGGTTACTGGTGTTTCAAAACTATATTTATACAACATATCTGACATCACAAATCTATATTTATACATCACAGCAGGCATTGCAAAACTATTTTTTTAAATGACAATTCACTTTACAAAATATTATTTATATATAAAAACCTACCTCAATAAACTCTTTTTACACATCACAACTGAACCCATGAGAGTCTTGTGATCAGGAAACTTGTGAAAACATTACCTCTTTATTGTAATGTGCTTTTTTACCATTTAAAAAAAAAACAAACAGTTATCTAACATTTTAAATTAGGTTTTTTTTTTTTCTACTTTAGATTCAGCATCTTCAAAAATGACCAGATACCAATTTTCAGTCAGTTTCTTCGACTAAAACTTAAATTATTTACACCTAAACTATAGCTAAAAAATCTATGAAAGAGAATTTGAGTCCAAATAAGGAATTTTTCTAGTATAAATTTCAAAATGATATATCTTTATAATGCTTTAAGAAACCAAAACCATCTTTTTTATAAAGATAGCCAAGGATCACCTACTTCATTTGAAAAAAAAATTGAATCCATGAGACTTGGGAAACTCCGGGAGTTGATGAAAGCCCAACCCATGGTAACAGAATAAAAAATTGGACTGACCATTTTAAAATTAAAAAATAACCATCATAAAATTTAAATTTCACTATTTGCTTTACATTTTTGAATTCAGCACCCTCAAAAATGGTCAGGTACCCATTTTTAGCCTCATTCTTCAACTAGATCTTAAATTATACATTAAAAAATACAACTACAAAATCCATAATGGCGGACTTGGAAAAAAAAGGAACGTTTTAGGCTGAATTTCAAAACGCCATAACTTTTAAACCGTTTAATTTTGGGAGCTCAAATTTTACAATTTTTCATGTTACATTGATATGTACCACTGGGTAAAATTTGAAAGAAATCTGAGAGGGTGACTGAAAAATTTAAATTTTTTTTCCCAGTTTTACATGGAATTACCCATATATATATATATATATATATATATATATATATATATATATATATATATATATATATATAATATATATATATATATATATATATATATATATATATATACATATTATTTCCTAATTTTTAAATATTTTTGGTTTGTTTGGAGAGTGTCTCCTGAAAACTTTAAAAATTATTTCAGGGTTACCATTTTTCTTATTGGTTTTTAATTGTTGTATGTTTTAACTTTTTCTTTTATTTTTTATAAAGATATTTCTCATTATAAAACCATTTATTTTTTCTGTATTTTTTTTTTTTTTTTTTTTTTTTTTTTTTGTTTGTTTGTTTTTGTTTAATATCAGATATTTAACCAAAAAAGTGTTTAATATTTTTAGATCTACTGCCAAAATATATGTCTACTTGCTAAACTGTTTCTTGATCACAAAACGCTTTATTTTGACGTTGAGCCATTCCTTTTCTATATTCTAACAGAGGTTGATAAAGAAGGGGCACATATGGTGGGATATTTTTCAAAGGTAGTTTAATTTATTTTGAATAAAAATTAGTTCATTAAACAATAGATTGATGTGTATTTTTTTACTGTTTTTACTTTTATGTGTATTTGATATTTATTTTTATACTGTTTTTAGTTTGATGTGTATTTAGATTGATATGTTTTTTTTATAGTGTTTTTAGTTTTATGTTTATTTTAGTTGATGTGTATTTTTATGCTGTTTTTAGTTTGATGTGTATTTTTATACTGTTTTTAATTTAATATGTATTTTTATCATTTTTTGTGTGTGCGTGTGTTATTAAAGTATATTTATATATAAAATAATTATATCAAGGATGCAAAGATTTATCAATTTGTAGGGATACTGGACTTTGGGGTCAAAATTTATAGACTTATAGGACTTCAGTTTTTTTTTCCTTAAAAAATAACTTAGTAAAAAATTGTACTTCTGAACCTACATTCATAATCCCTCTATATTTGCATAGAAAACTTGTGAAATAGGAATTACTTTAAATGCAGCCTGTGTTGAATCATTGTGAAGCGTTACTACTAAATATATATATATATGTTTATATAATAACATTAATATATATAAAATATGTTTATATAACAACATTTGGTAAAGGTACCAAGCTTTTCTTGGATTTGCTTTTATTTTATTTTATTTTTTTTTACCTCTTCTGATGTCTTTTTTCACTGTATTTCATTTTTGAAGTTTTAGTCTTACACACTTCAAGTAAAAGGTTTTTAACAAGATGATAAATCTTCATCTAATAGAGCTAGAGGAATTATAGTTCTAACTGTGCTTGTAAAGTAAATATTATAATATGCTAGATTTCTTCAGCTTTTTTACTTGGTGAAAGATCACCTTTTTTACCTTTAATAAAAATGTTCCAATTAATTGTTTAAACATTGCACACAAAATAAACAATCGATGTATGAAACAGTCGATGTATGTACTTTTCACTTTTCTGTAAGTATGCTTTTATTTATTTTTTTTGCAAAAATGTATAATATAATTATGTAGACAAATCATAAAATATAAAATAGATACACAAAAATCTTCCCCTTACTTTTTTCACTTTGTAAATATACGTTTTTCATAAACTTGTCCTTGTAAGTGAAAATATGTGATATATCTCTCTATATATATTTATATATATATATACATACATACATACATACATACATACATACATACATACATATATACATACATACATACATACATACATACATACATACATACATACATACATAAATACATACATACATATATATATATATATATATATATATATATATATATATATATATATATATATATATATCAACCTTCAGAATATGGAAAAATGTGGTTGGCAATATTTTGCCGACCTTAATTTCTTAGAGGTCCGCAAAAAAAATTTGATATAAAGGTCTTACCATAAAACATAGAAACGAGTTCGGCAATTTTTTGCCAACCTAAAACACTTTTAGGTCGGCATTGCCAAATGCCGACCCTAATTTAGAGGGTTGATATATATATATCTGTGTGTATATTTGTGTTTATATATATATATATATATAATATATATATATATATATATATATATATATATATATATATATATATATATATATATATATATAGTCTTGCATGGTAGTCACAAAGTTTTTCCCATAAACTGTTGTTTTAAAGACCGCATTAATATGCCTGACCAGAAAATGTTGAAAAACTTTTTCTTTTTTTTTTTTTTTTTAAATGATAGACTGCCTGCCCAAACCAAACCCTCAGTCGATGTAGCACCACTCCCTTGCAAGTCAGGCTATTTGTCAGTCGATGTAGCAGCACTCCCTTGCAAGTCAGGCGATTTGTCAGTCGATGTAGCAGCACTCCTTTGCGAGTCAGGCTATAAGATAGTCTATGTAGCAACACTCCCTTGTAGCAGCAGGCTATAAGATAGTCGACGTAGCAACACTTACGCATGTTTTAAAAATGTTTTATAATAAAAATATATATAAACTTCAGTTTCAAGAATAAAAATGTTGAGTTAAATAATGGTTTAAAGGTGAAGAAATGTAATTAAAAGTATTTATTTTTCAAAGAAACAAATTCTTTTTATGTCTTGCATACTGATTTTTGAAAAAAACATCACATATCAAAAAACTACAACATATCAAAACAAAAAATTTAAAAAACTAACACAATCTTTATAGACAAGTCTATAAAGAGTGTGTTTATCTATACGGTGTGTTGATCTGGATTTGAATCAACGGCCTCCCACCTTTGATTCAAGTTTACATTCTTTAAGTAGGTCCATAACGCTGCAGAACATTTACTAAAATATTGCTTAATATTACCAGCATGCAGATCTGTTGGAGTCTCTGCTGTTACTGTCAAAATTAGGTTGAGCTTGTTCTTTTTAGATGTTAGCTTAGAATCAAAATTATGAAATGAATCAGAATTCTTATCTGAACCTAGCTCTACTTCATTATTAGATTTTATTAGTCTCACTTTCATCTGCCTGTTTTTCTTTCTGATATTCTCTATTGTTGGTATATAAGAGTTGTGTAATTAGTAAAATTGTAATAATAAAAGGTTATGGATTAAAATTGAAGTTGAAAGTTATTTAGAATATATATACATTATTAAACTTCATTAGGAATCTAAATAACAAAGTTTAAATTTTATATTTTTAAAACAAAGGTTATATTAATTTATTTATACCCTAATAGTTATTTATACCCTAGAAGAACAATTGATTAAAATTATTTATGTTAGTCCTTAAGAAGAGCCTCATTTATCCTCAAGCAGAATAATTGATTAAAAGTATTTATGTTCGTCCTGAAGACTCTTAAACTGTTTAAGTTTTTAATTTCAACTTAAACAAACATGTTTATAAAAAGCGTTTAAAGAAATGTGATTAGATGACATGAGTATTTTTTTTTTTTTTTTAGTTGCTCAATTTTATGTTTTTGAGAGATAAACCATAAAAGTATGCTTTATATAGTTTATCTGGAAAAGTTTTTGAGATTTTTAAAATTTTTTTACTTTCTAATCGCAGTATTAAAGATAACTTTAATACTGCACTCTTCTTTATTTTCAGTATTTTTTGGAGTACAAGTTTCTATCTTTCTGAAATCTTACATCAAAACTTTATACTCCAGTCTCCAATCATGACAAAAAGTTGTCACTTTTAAATTGCTTAGATCAGGTAGTCAATCTTGAATCTCAATCTGTAACATCAAATTTATTGCTAACAACAAAAAACTTGTTAATAACAATTATCGCAATATTGTTGATATTCCTAAATGTTTCCATTCACCGGATTCACTACTGACTTCCATGCAAAATTAGCATCGGTCAGCTTTATCATGTTGCCCATTTCCTTACTCCCAATTCCATTCTCTACCACTAAATTTTTTATTTATCTATGTATAACCTTAAAGATATTTAACAGTTGTCACACAACAGGTAAATATTCTTTAAGCTGCACATGCCAGTAGATAGTATATCATAAATGTATGCATGCAGAAAGTCATGCAGCATATAAATGTAAACAATTTATATGCTTCATGACTTTCTGTATGCAGTGTGATCTAGTACATTTGTGCTATTTTTAGAAGTTTAAAAAAATCTTGTAGTCATTAAGTCCTAAAAATTTTAATTGATGTCTGGGATTGTGGACTAGGATAAAAACAGGCTGTACACTCCAACTTTGCATCCATGTATTTTAAATATTATACTGTTCTGTGTGTGTATTGTTTATATAAAAGTTAAATATAATTAGGAGAAAGATTCACCTGAAGGTAATAATGTGGCTTGTATTTTAACACTGCCACCATATCAACGAAAAGGTTATGGAAAATTTCAAATTGCATTTAGTAAGTAATATTACCTTTTAGTTTCAATTTTCTTTAGAAATTTGCATGTTATGAGTTATCCAAAATTAAATAGCTGTTTTTATAAATTTGCATGTTTTAGGCTATGAGTTATGCTATGAAAAATTAAATAGCTGATTTTATAAAAAAAATAAAGCTGTGAATTATCAAAAGTTCACAATCATTTAAAATTAAAGACTTGAAATTTTACAATTTTCAAAAAACTCATTTTAATATTTTTATTTATAAAAATTAACCAATTGTATAAAAATATTTTCTGCCAGTTGTTATCCAAGATTGAAGAGCTGAATTTATTAAAAATTTTTAGGCTATGAGTTGTCCAAAATTGAAGGGCTGATTGTATAAAAACATTTTAGGCTATGAGTTATCAAAAATTGAAGGACTAATTGGATCTCCAGAAAAGCCGTTATCTGATCTTGGCAAATTAAGCTACAGAAGTTACTGGACATGGGTTTTACTAGATGTTCTGCGAACCTCATCAGGCACTCTATCAATAAAGGATTTAAGGTATGCATAACTACAACTCCTTTTCTTTTTCTTAAGTAATTTTGACTATTTATTAAAACTAATAAATAGTAAAGAATACATGACAAACATGACAAACATAAAAAATTTGTCAACCCATTTTCTTTGTTCTTTAATTCTTTAATTTTTTCCTTCTCTTTTTGTAAGATGTGCATCCTTCTTTTTCTTGTTTTGTTTTTTCATTTCTTTTGATCTTTTTTGAAGACATGACTCAAACCATTTTAAATTGTTGATAAAAGTTTATAAGAAAAGATTAGCATAAAGTAAAGACCATGATCAGTGATGATAGCTCAAGCAAACTATTATCACTTGTTCCATCGGTCAAAACTCTATTTTAAATAAAGTTTCAGTTTATAAATCCAAACTAATATTTTTTAAAAAGCTTAAAAACTATTTCATTCTTGCGTGGCTTGTAGTCAAATGCACATTTTCTAATGCTGTTTTATCATAATTTCAAAAGTATTTAAAATGCTGATATAAGTTTTATACTTTGGTAAACCAAAAGCCCATTTTCAACAAAAGTCATAAGAATGCATAGTCTGGAAACATGGACCGCTTCTATTGTTTTTTGATTTTAACGTGAAAACTATTTGACAACCTGGCAAGCCTGTACAAGTTTTAAAAAATGGCAAGTTTTAATTGTGATTTTGAGGCAAATGTTGATTTGGAATGTTTGTTTGAAATAGTTTAAAAAGGATTTTTAAACAATGACATTGAATTAATTACAGATATATATTCCATTGTCTCTGATAGATTAATTATAGATATTAACATATCTATAGAGAAAATCTCAAGCAACATGCATGTAATCAGTGTCCTAAAGTATACAAGTCGATCAGAGACACACTGCATCAAAGCATATATTAGAGAAATTTGATAATTGTTCTTTAAACATTAATAATACAGAAAGTTCTTTAAATAAAATATTTCCACTAAAACTGAAAAGCATATTTGAAGAATGTGCAAGTTTACTTGAAAGGGACATGTGTCTTCCATTTGATATGAAAAAACACTTTTTATGTGAGAAATTTAGTTTATCAATAAATGATGCTGAAAATCTTTCTAAAAAATTAAATCCAATAATAGAAAAATTTAACAGCAATAATGATTTGTTTTATCAAGAGTATTATAACTGTTAAATAAAAATTCACTAGCTTCACACTTATGCGATATAAGTAATACACGCTACTCACTGAAATGTCTTCTTACCGGTGTAAAACTGAATTTTGTTCAAACTGTAAGTACAACTCAAGAAATTGCTGATATAGAGAGAAAGCGTTTACATTATCTTGTTGGATATATTTTTCAAAATTTGTATACTAAATTTCAAAGTACTGAAAATTCATCTATGTATAGCCAACAGTCTGTTTCAATTTTGCTGCGCTGCAGAGTTATGGAAGATAATGCTAAGACTCTTCTAAATATTAGAGATAGAGGAGGTTTATTGAAAGTGAACAATATAATTCAATATATATTTCTGACATGCGAAAATATTTTTCGCAGAAAAACTACTCAAGTTTTTTAAAAACTAGGTCCTGAAGATCTTGTTAGATCCATGTCAACAATTATATTGTACTTTCTCTTTATAAACAAGTTTCCAATGATCCAGAATCAACTGAAGTTAATAAGAATTTGCTAGAGCACTTACATCGTTTGTAAGAGTTCGTTCATTTTCTTATGCCAGAGACATTATTGAAAAACATAAAATGAAAAAGAAAAGACTCAAGTTAGTTGTTTGTCTAATTAGTTTGTTGAACATAAAAGGCTATTTTGATAGCCACATCTTTCTAAAACATTAATGGCATAGCAACTACTTAAACTCTGTTTAATAATTTGATTGAGATGCTTTATTTATTAAAATATTTGTTGTATCACATAGTTAGAATAATAAAAAATTTTAGGGTCAGTTTATTGTATTATATAATACTACGCTATATTGTATTTATATATTGTATTTGATTAGAAGTTGCTTTTATTATTTGTATTTGATTGAAAAGTATCTTTAGTTTATGAAAAGCAATTTGATTTCGATTTTTAAACTTCATTTTAAAAAAATTTTAACTTTTATTATGTTTATAAAAACTTTTTGTTTTAAAAATTTTAAAAAAAAAATTTTATTTAAACTTGATCATTGTTTTAAAAGTAAAGAAAAATTAGTCAAAAATGTTTGTATTTCTTAACCTAAGTAGCAGATATTTGTATTAAGTTAGTATTAGGCCTCTCTTGCATGTTCAGCATGTTGTTATTATAATTTTGTTGTTGTTTTCATAAATTCCTCTGTCTGTTTGGAACCTCAAGTTCCCACTTTTTACTTTCACCTCAATTCATATAATTTAAAATTGAATTAAATAGATTAAATTTAATTTTAAAAATTTTAAAGAATTTCTTGTTTTACTGCCTTGATTGATTCCCTCTAAGACTTCAACAAAATAACCCTCCCACATCATATATACAGATTACTTATTACAAAATCTCACCAACATATCTTTTAAAACATTAAAAAATTCCCAACACCCTTTTTATTTCCACCCCTATTGTATTAAACACGCAAGAGTACTTAATGGAAGACCAAGTTTTGTTGTTTATGTCCTGTTTTTATCAGTAAAAGTAAAGGGAGTTCATTTTTGTAGGGAATTATACAGGGAATCTGAATCTGAAAAAATAAATAAAAATAAAATGTCTTGTTGGAGGGAAAGCTTAATTTTCAACGAAAAAATGACTAAAATATGAATAATTATAGAGAAAAAACTATCAACTTAAAATAAAAAAAGTTCAATTATTTGATTAACTCAATATAAACTTCATGAAAATATCAAATTTTGTTAAAAAGTCAAAAAAATGAACACATAATGGAAGCTTTTGTGAAGGTTGCTTTTAGAAAAATTAGTCTAAAATTAGTTTGTTTTTTTTTCATAATTTAGACTTAATGTTATTGTAGGGTGCGTACTTTTCCAAAAACTAATAATAAGCCAAACACTTCCAAGTTATAACAAACACTTTTAAGTTATAACAAACATTTTTAAGTTATAACAAACACTTTTAAGTTATAACAAACACTTTTAAGTTATAACAAACACTTTTAAGTTATAACAAACGCTTTTAAGTTATAACAAACACTTTTAAGTTATAACAATTTAAAAAATTTGCTATAGATCTTTATTAAACTAGAATTATTAAATATAGAGTTTATTAAACCCTAGAAATTTTAACTTCCATAACAACCGCCATAGCAACAGCACCTTTTTTTCATCCTAACTAAAAATCCTGCTAAAATCTGATTTTTCTGTTTGAAAAATATACTAAAAAGAATTTTATTTTCTATTGTTTAAAACTACTTTAGAATAAAAGCAATCACTGGAATGCCCATTTTTAATCTTTTAAAATGGTTAAAGTTAGTAGAGTTAAACAAAGAACTAAAGGAAATAAAAGAAAAAAAATGTTTTATGGAAAGAAAAATTAGTTGTAAATAGTGTGGATATGGATGTAAATAATAGCAATGTAAATATAGAATCAAATTGTGTAGATACCAATGTAAATATTACTAAAAGTGTTGAAGATATAAATGTAAATATGATAAGAACTGTTGATTTAAATGTAATTTGTTTTGATCAAATTAGTGCTTCTGCTAAAAAATTAGAAACAATTCATCATCAAGAACTCATAATATTGAGTAGCTTAATTACAGGATACCGTTATGCTATGAGATCATGCGGTCAAGGTTATTCTGGATTTTCATTTTTTTCATTGATGGACATGCCCAAACCAATGACTATTAACAATTATAACAAAATAGTTTTAAAATTAACTAATGCAGTAAAATGTGTAGCTGAAGACGATACGTGAAGCGATATACTAAATTTTATGGTGATGGAGATAGCAAATGTTATGATGCTGTTAAAAATGTTTATGAAGGTATACAAACTTGAATGTGTTGGACAAAGTAAACAAACTTTGAATGTGTTGGACATGTTCAAAAAAGAGTTGGAACTTGCTTACGTAACCTTAAAAAAAAGGAAAAAGGTCTAGGTGGTCGCGAAAAATTAACTGATGCAACTATTGATTGTCTCCAAAATTATTATGGCATAGCTATTTGCCAAAACAAAAATGATTTAAACGGTATGAAATCTGCTGTAAGAGCTACGCTTTATTATATTGCCTCATCAAAAAATGAAAATTTATATTTTCCTCACTCTCCTGAAGGTGCTGATAGTTGGTGTCTGTATAATCGCGACAAAGCAAACATAGATGATTTTTTTCCGGGAATTCCGGAAATTCACTCAAAACTGCTTTAATTTTCCAGAATTTTCCGTATTTTTTTGTTATTAATTTGAAAAAAAAACTAAATATTTTTACATGAAATTTTTAAAACAACAACTATGGCATTTAAACAAATATGTTTTCTATAGTTAAAATTTTTAGGAGATCAATTTTTGTAACAATTTTTTTTTCTTTTTTTTTAATTTATTCAAATTAACTTTTTCGAATATTAGAAATTCGTTTTTGTAAAAAGTTAAAAAATGTAAATTCCGTTTTAAAAGTTTACGAAAGTTTTTGTTTTCACTTAATACGATCAATTTTTAATAAAATAATTTTCCGGGATTTCCTTAAAAAAAATGTTTGGAAACTTAAACCAATTTATGATGAGTTAAGTAATGACATTCTTTTAAAAAAATGTCTTCATGCCCTTACCCAAAATAACAATGAATCATTTAACATGATAATATGGGAACGTTTACCAAAAGGCCATTATGTTTCGCTTACACGTTTTCAGTTTGGTGTTTATGATGCAGTTGCCCATTTTAAGATTGATAAACAAGCTAGTGTGTTAATTTTAGAAAAAATGGATTTGAGACCTGGAATATACTTGTTAGAAGGATGTAGGCTAATAAATAACAAAAAATTATATTTAGCCAGATATAAAAATTTAAACCGAGTAAAAAAACGCAGACAATTAATTCGAGGAAAAAAGTATTCTGAGATTTATCTCATTTGTTTTATCATGATTTGCATATTTATGTATATTATTTAGAAATTTTTTATGTAAACATTTTCAAAAGCTGTTTTTCTCAGATAGAGGTTTTTAAAGACGCCGCACAGTGGAGTATTTGACTGAAAAAGTCTATCAAAAGTGAAGTTACCGCAAAAACAAAGAAATCTTTAAAGTTTCCGCGAAAAAGTTTTTTTTAAGTAGAGTGAAATATTTTTTAAAAATATATTTAACAAGTATATTTGTAATTTAAAAAAGCATATTTATAAATATAATAATATATACACTGTGCACCAGAGAGACCGCCAGGTTTTTTGTCGTGGCACTCAAACCAAGTCCTTATTTTATGAAAGTATTATATATATATTGTTTTAGAAAATATATTTTTTGAAATCGAAACGCGTTGCTATTATACCTTTTTTGATATAAATATATTATAAAATGGTTATAAAATTTCTTAAATTTTCGCCGAATCTTGATTAAAAAAATGTTGAAAAAATTGTTTTTATCTTTGGAAATCACTGATAGATTTTTTTTTTAATGGAGGTAACAAAATTTATTTTGTAAAATATATTGTTTAATATAACTTTAAAAATAAAGTTATAAATGTCAAATATTTTTAACAAATTATTATATGGGAGAAGTGGGGGCATAACCGCCCTCGTAACGTTTGGAATAATGTTATATGAAAATAAAAACGAAATGTGTTTTTTTAGCAGTTTATTTCAATAACCACATCATTAAGCTTTAAATTGATGCATTTAAGAAAAAAATTAAACAGGTTTTGAAAATGTTATTACACAAAAATTACACTTAGTGAAAAAAACGGTTTTGCCCCCATTGTGAGGCTCAACCGCACCCTCAAAAAAATCTATGGGGCTACACCTTTCATGGTACATTTTTTTTACAATTTTCACAGCTCAGATGATTTGATGATTTTGTTGCATGTTTGCATATTGTGCAGGCATTCTTTGTGTTTACATTTTGAGTTCTGCCCCAGAAGAGAGTTTTTAGAAAGAATTCAGTTTCATAGATTAATTATTAGATTATGGTATTATCAAAAATGACTTTCACTTCATGAAATAATGCTGATAACACATATTTTTAACACTAAAATTAAATATTGCTTAATTCTCAAAAAGAAGGTCAGGAAAAATATGATGTAAATATAATATTTTTATCAAAACAAAAATTATTATTCACAACTTCTCAGAAACTTAACAGTCACTCTTTTTGACATATGCAAAATGAAGGAAACTGTTTTACTAACGCGTGGTATGTTTTTTGCCATATTAGATAACATTTTTTGAAGAGAAATGTTAAAAAACAGTTGTGCCTCCATATGCGGTTATGCCCCTTACTTCCCCTATAAATAATTAAATATTAGCTATTTATTATATTAATTATACTGTAACCTCATATTAGATAGGCTTATAAATTTAATTACCTCCTGTACTAACTAATCAAAAAAATTCCGAGATTAAAAAGATGGTAGTATAAAAGTTCTCAAATTGCGGAAGGTCGTGCTATTTAGGAGTTGTATTTCTTTCACTTAAAAATGAATTCTACTTGTTGCTGTTGCTGGAAAAAGTATGGCGAAAGATCAAAATCATTGAAAAAAATGAATAAAAACTTTTCAAATGTTTATCTTTCAAAATTTAAATTCAAATGTTTATCTTTCCTGGATATTCGATGAACAACAATTGCTATCCATCAGATGTTTGTCCTGGTTGCCGAAGAAATCTTTACAGACTCAAAAAGGGAGACTTACCTCGTAGTGAATGGGGAGCTAAGGTTACCAAGGTAAGTTTAATGGTTTTTTTCCTTTTTTTTCTTTTGTTTATTTATAAATGTATATTTATTTAGGTAGGGTGGAAAACCCTTTTGAGAAATAGCCCCAGAACCAGTCTAACTCTTCCAGATGAGATAACTAATTTACCGATAACTAAGTCAAGTATATGTTCTTTTTGCTATACATTACCTGCACCTGGTTATTCTCATAACTGTACACCCACCAGTGCTGTGGCAAATATCATTACACTGTCATTTCTTCTAGGTTTTCTTCAAGCTGAACAGTTAAAAAAACTATATTTTGTTTATAAGTTTTTTGTTTTTTATGCAAATTTTATTTTGTGAAAACTTCACGTAGGTTGCTTTTGGAATTATAAAAAGTAAAATGGCTACAGAAAATTTGATTGATGGATCAACGTTTTGTTTATCTACAGGAAGAAATCCGCTCAAAGTCACAGTTGGTACACCAGAAAACAAATCAAAAAGAACTATTAAGCACCTTTCCATCGAAATAATAAATCAATTACAAGTTGTGTTAGAACTTTCAAATAGAAAAACAAAAGAGATGCTTTCTACTTTACGCAAAGGTTTAGGAAATAAGCTTTCCATTGAGCCTAATATTTTTGGTCGTCTTTCTGAATTAGAAGAGTATATTTCTAATTACTACAGTGTGCAGAAGTGCGAGTTAGTTGATAGTAAAGGCCATTTAATTTTACGAGATCTTGTATATGTTCAAAATACATCAGATTTTGTACTTGACTTATTAAAATTGCGTGGTTTAGACCCTACTTCAGCCTTTATAAGAATTTCATTGGATGGTGAAGGTTCATTTTTTAAAGTTATCATCAATGTCTTTGTCAAAAAGATAATGAGTCAGACGAGTACTTAAAAAGTGGCGTTTAATGGTCTCAATTTTTAGCTATTGTTGAAGATATTCCTGAATCTAACTATAATTTGAGACTTGTTGTAGAAAAATTAAATTTGCAAGATGTCAGTTTTTTATGTTGCTTTTGACTTGAAATGTGGAAACGCGCTGTTTGGTTTGTCAGGACATTCTGGGGAAAAAGCTTGTTTATGGTGTGAAGGAGTATCTACATTTAATTTAGGGACAAACGAACTCTTGGCAGTATTGATTATTGGTACAATAAATATTTAGAAAATAACTCAGTAAAATCATCAATGCAAGAGTTTATGAACTGCATCAATCCTCGAATTTTATATATTAATTTTGATCCAAATACTTTAATTGAGCAACTCGTTTCTCCACCTGAACTTCATTTGTTAAATGGTTTTGTTTCACTGCTTGGAAATTTTTTGTTAGATGTCTGGCCAGGATTTGATGATTGGCTAAAGTCAAAAAATGTTATTCAGCGAGGGTACCACGCCAGAGGCTGGGACGGAAACAATTCGAATAAAATATTAGAAAATCTGGATTCTCTTGAAACACAAATTTTAGAAACATTTACTTGTTTGATTCCAATTGTTCAGTGTTTGAGAGATTTTAGAAATGTAAAAAGTTGTTGCTTTTCCAGCAATATACAAACTGGCTTCAAAGAAGCAATAACAAATTTAAAGAATTCATTTCTTTCTGCACAAGAAGTTGCAATAAATTTAAATAAACAAATAAATACAACATGGAAAGTTCACATTCTATTATGTCATGTACAGCTATATGTGGAACACCATAATAAAGGATTGATCATATTATCAGAATTAAATTATCTGATAATATGAATACGCTAATTTAATATTATTATTATTAGTCGAGTTACGTCATTTTCTAGGCTTTTCTATTTTAAAGTAGTTTCTAGGCTTTTCTATACGCGGTTTTTTTTTTAATTTTATTTACTAACAACGCGTATTACGGGTTGCTTACTGCTAGTATATTTAAATATCGTTAAAGTCACTTGCTTTAAAGTAGTACACATGTTTAAGGGGGGGGGGGTAATTCAATACCGGCATTATACCGGTATTGCCGTTATTGAAATTTTAAAGTACCGAAATATCGCTATTGAAAACTGATTTTGGCATTGGATGCACTACATGTAAGCCATGTTACGATAAACAAATTTTATTTTTACTTAATTTTTTTAATTTAATTTTTGTATTATTCATAAGCATAATAATACTTGTAACTTATGTACTTATGATAAGAATATTTGTATATGAATGTATATAGGTGTATAAAACATTTGTTTTTCTATATACTTTAGTGTTTTAACCAGTATTACACAAGAAGATTGCATTGGTACATTACAGTCCTTAAATATGGTGAAGTATTGGAAAGGTCAGCACGTCATATGTGTTACTCCGAGGCTTATTGAAGATCATTTAAAAACATTTCCGTCAAAAAAACCACCACTTACTGTAGATCGTGTTTGCTTACTTTGGTCTCCGCCATACAAAAAGAAAATGAAAAAGTAGTGCGTCATATGGTTACATTATATGATTACGTTATAAAGGTTACGCAAGATTATAGTTATATTTTAAATAACGACACATTCATTTATGCTTAATTCATTCATGCTTAATTAAATTTATTGTAAAGTGTGATGAAACAAACATAAGAAGTAAGAATTAAACTTTGTATAAATGGTATTGTAATTCTTATTGTCTGGTTGTGCAAAAGTTGTGCATATATTTAAAAAATACACTGTAAAGCTTACAATTCTCTAAGAAGTTTTTTTTGAGATGCCCAAAAATAACAAAGTTATTCGAAAATGGGATTAACCAGCGGGGAAATGATTAAAGTAGACTGGGGGAATGCCGACACCTTAATACAATTTGATTTTTATAATTTTTCTAGGTTAGTTACAATTTTGGTGAAAGTACCTAAAGATTTGTCCAAATTCTCTGCATCAAATCAATATATAATGTTTTAAAATTATTTACATTACAAATGTTACACGAATGTTTTTCGTAATTTAAGCACAGTGTCGCAATTATTCCGCCACCGGAATAATTGCGACACCACTTTGGGGTAATACCGACATTAGTAATTAATAAGACAATTATTTTACCAAACATGTTTTATTGTTACATAGAGTAAATAAACGTAATATATAATTGATAATAACAAAGTAAGACAGGTTAACTCTTTGAGATACAAAAAAAACCTTTTTCTAATTGAAGATTAATGAATAGGGCAATAGTCACAAACATTTCAAGGGAATTATAACCGCTGCAATCTGCATGAGCCCATTTTCCACAATAGGCAAAACGATACTAGAGCAGTTTTTTTTTCATATTCACCCCTAACTAGACACGTCTCAGTGTCCTTTGAAAATAAATCAATCTCGTCGTCAAGATCGTCATCATCACATAGTTAAGTTTCATCAATATCTTCCTCAGAAGTTGATTTTTAAAAAAATATTTATCTACAACACCTTTTCTTTGTTGTTTTTCTTTTAGCTGCGAGCTTGTTTTTAGGATGGGTGTTCATTTTAGTTTTCACGAGTTTTCCCTCATTGCTAGACCTACTCTTCAAGAGTTTAAGTTTGACTTTCGGTATCACCTAAGGGTTGTCCATAAGTTTTTCTAGTCTAAGCTTGGCTTTTACATATTTAATTTCTTTTTTCTTTTTAGCTTCTTCCAAAACTGCTTTCATAGGGGTTCCTGTCATGATTATGGAGTGTTGCTTTCTATTATTGCGATCATCTTTATTATCTGTTGATAAAGAAGTGGTGACAAATATTCCGGAGTTTCTTTGAAACATGTTGGGCTTTAGGAGGGTTTTGGAACAGCTTTTAGAACTGTGTCCTGCTTTAAAGAAGCAGCTTCTGGATCAAAGCCTATTCAGTCAGGCATAATTTCATATAACTCGTTGTAATTTTATCGCAAAGCTGTCTGGGATGTCCTGCCGGACCTCAGAATTTTATAATATTAAGTAGCGAATAGTTATTTTTGTATGTACTTAAAAGAATTTTTATCTTAGTTATAACAAATGCCTTCATTTTGTGCTGCTATAAACTGTGGAAAAAACTGTAAAGATATTTCATTTTTTCGTTTTCCTAAAGACAAAAAAAGGCAAGCTAATTCATATATTATTTATAATAACTTTTCTTTTATAAAAAGTTGATAAAATTATTATTGTAGTATTTTAAAACATTCTTTTGTTGTTTAATTTTTAGATGTAAACAGTGGGTCATCAACTGTCGTAGGAAAGATTTAGACAAAAAAGATTTTTTATTTTTAAACAAAAACTTTTATTTGTGCAGTAATCATTTTGAAAATACAATGTATTATTCTACAAATAATGGTGGAAAACGTTTGTTACAATCAGCAATTCCTACTATTTTTAACATCCCAAATCCTCCTCCACTTCTTGGTTGCAAAAGGAAACCACCAGTTGAACGTCATTTAGTTCCAGCGAAAAAGCAAGTTGTTTGTTTACCTGTTAATTCAGATAGTTATTTAGAAAACAAAATGTCTACTAATAAAATAAATTTCAACAAACTTCAAAGGTTACTATTAACATTGCGAGTCAAAATTTCTAGACTACGTAAACAAGTTCGACATCTGAAATCCAAACAAAATACCCAAAAAAACTGTGATAGGTCTATAAAACATATTTTAAATTTATCCAGGAAATACTTATCATCTATACAAGTTAGTTTTTTTAAAAGTCAATTAGAAATGAGTAAACGAGTCAATAAAGGAAAACGCTGGGCAGTTTGTGACAAAGTTTTGGCTTTGCGAATTCTGTTTCATAGTCCTCAAACTTTTAATGTCTTGCAAACAATATTCTGTTTACCAAGTCAAACCTGTTTATTATTATTTTTGTCCCGTGTGTTTTCAGATCTTCAAGAAGGATTTTCTACTCGATTGTTTTCTTTATTAAAGTTACGTGCTGATGCAATGAATCTGCTTGATCGTAATGTCAGTCTTATTATGGATGAAATGTCATTAAAGCAGCATTTAGAGTATGATTAGAGTATGATAATTCTGACAGGGTTTACGGTATGAAAAATGGAAAATTTTAAATCAGGCTCTTGTAGATATGGTTAGAGACTTGGCAAATAAATGGAAACAACCAATAGCTTATTTTTATAATAAGTCAACAGTAGCAACAGCTGACTTGGCTTCTTTACTACGTGAAACCATTTCTAAGGTTCAAGGTTTACACATTAGATGTGTAGTTTGTGATCAAGGATCTACAAATATAGTTGACTTATTGTCACAATTAATAGTGCTGACTTAGTGTCACAATTAATAGTGTTCTAACCTTAAGCAGAGAGCTATTTTCTGAAGGTTTTCAATTTGTTTGTACTTCTCGTTTTAATCAGGACTGCATTGAGAATTTTTTTTCCATTATTCGAAGCAAAGGTGGTTGGAATGACCGTCCAAATGTTAGACAATTTCGAGCTGCTTATAGAAATGCTTTATTACTTTTATCTGTAGAAAAAAGTAAATCCAATAGCAACTGTATAAAGGATTCAAATTTTGAGATAGCTTTCAATCTAAATGATTTTATGAAGTGTTGTAATCAATCAACCACTAATTGTAGAATTTATGAAACAGAAAATAACATACCTAAAGGAATATCTTATTTTCGTCCAGGGTCATTTTATATGTTTACTGGAAAAATTTGAATGCAACCAATGGATCAAGCCTTTTTACACATGGCTGAATGGCTTATTCAAAAGGTTAAATTATGTCATAGGTGTGCAGATGTACTATTTCTTAGTTCAGCTGACAATCCATCAGCTTTTATGTCACTAGTTAGTGAAATGGAAACAACTTTTATTGATAAATATCTTGAAAAAGATGGACTGGCCATGATTCTCATAAATAAAATTAAAAAAATGTCATTTTCAGTTTTTGCATAATCAACATGATGAACATGCACTTTATTTGGAAAAAAACATGGTTCTGTTTTTTGTTATTACAAGAATTTTTTATTTCATAAAATTTTTAAACAGAGACATAAACCCACGCAAAAAGTCAAATGCAAAAAAAATTGCACGTATTCTTCTTAATTTATATATTTCGATACTTTTTTTTTTTTTTTTTTTTTTGTAATAAGATGCACTAATAACTTTAAAAAAAAGTATGTATAATATCATACAATACCCAAATTGCAATTTCAAAAATGCACGTATTGTCCTTTGGTATATTATTATATTATTTTTTCAATTTAATCTTTGTTATGAGTCTTTGTTATGTTATAATGTATATTAATAACTTTTGTTAATGTATAATGTTAATAACTTTTATGTATAATAATATACTTTTATGTTATAAAAAAATTACACTAACTTTATGTTCTATAAAACTCTTTTTGTTCTACAAAACGTTTTTTTCCCCATTATTTTATTCTTATTGAAACATTCTATCTTAACGAAATTGATGTATCTTAATGCTACAAAATTGAGATATCTTGAATACAAAATTGAGATATTTACAAATATCACATAAAACAAAGATACAAAGTTTATTTTAAAAAAAAAACTATTTGTAATAGTTGCGGAAAAGGTCCGGCAGGACATCCCAGAATGCAATTTCGATCAATTAACAGGAGTTTCGCGAAGTGGATAGGCTTTGTTCTGGATTAGCATAAGTCCCTGTTAAATTCAAGCAAGCAGTTTTCTTACGCACAACCGTCTGATGCCCTGAATGCTGTCGAGTTTCAGTAGCCGATTCGTTAGTGGTTTCTGGGTGCTTAGCGGCAGACAGATTGATATCTTGAATAAATTCTATGTTGGGTGGTTCATCAACGTTTTCGTGGTCGACTATGATTGGTTGTTGAATCGTGTTCTCGCAGATAAAATCCACATCACTAAATTTTTCTGGCTTGTAAAGGAAAATACCGGATGCCGCGAATCCTGAGACCGTTTTCTCAATTGTTGCGACATTCACGTATGCTTCGTTAAAGATGAAAGCAATGTCGTACACTGTTATTTTCTTATTGGAAGTGGTTAGCTTTTAAGAATCTGTCGCACTGTATGTTGAATGCTTTTTTCAAAGGCCCATAAAATGATAAATCCAAAGGCTGTAGCTTATGGGACGTATGGGGTGGTATAGAAACTACATTAATGTGATTCGTTCTGCAAAATTCATAACTCTCTAGAGAAATATGACTGCCGTGGTTGTCTAACACCAATAGCGCAGGATTTTCTATTGTTGGTTTAGCGTTTTCCTTGAAATGTTTTAGCCAATCTTGGAAGAGGTTTTCGTTTGACTAGCCGTTGTGAGAGCATGTATAAATGGCTTCCGGAGGACCCCCTCTTTCTAGTTGTGGAGACATCCGCTTCCGGGGATAGATAAACATTGGTGGGATAAATCCTCCAGAAGCACTGACAGCTCAGACCACCGTAATGTTTCTGCCCCGCTCTCAGCTTGTAACGGATCCCACCTAATGTTGGCCCTTTGTTACTAATATCTTACCGGGTTTTTGGACCGTTGAAATACCCGTTTCATCCATATTGAATATTCTTGTCGCCTTAAATTGGTGTTTCTTATATCTAGGTTACCAAAAAATAAATCAACTTCAGCTGTATTGAAAGCCAGAACTCGATTGAGGCTTGTTGCCGAGGGCTGCCTCAAGCCCTCTTAAGCCTCAAGCCCACCCAATCTTCCCCAGCCATCTTAATA